GAAAGAAAGAAAGAAAGAAAGAAAGAAAGAAAGAAAGAAAGAGAAAGGCAATGGCAGTCACTTTGGGCCATGAAGGGATAATATCCCAGATCTATAGCTGAGTTCTGCCTCACCAGAATTCCATGATGAATTTGTGAACTGAATATAGAGACTGACTTAGGTAGTGTGGGTATCTCAGTAGAACCTATCCGCAGCAGTATTTTGCCTGATTTTGGGTTTTTTCACTGGATGTCACTGATTAGTTACTTTTTAGTAAGATGGGCAGCCAATAAATTTAATAAATAATTGGATAACTAAATAACATCTGTCTGGGGGATCAGAGTCACTTTAATTTTGACTCTTATGCTCTAGTAAATCATTGCAGAGCTAGTCAGGCTTGCAGATTTTCTGAGGCGGGGAGGATTGTTTCTCATTCTTTCTTTGAGTACAGGATCAGACCAGCCTTTTTTTTTCTCTCTGCTTGTGCCCCCTATAAGGACTAATGTCCTGTTCCTGGCATTGGTCTCTTTCTTCTGCACTGTTTAACATTAACCTGTCCCATCTCCATAGCAACAGATACTTTGGGCCTTATACAATCACAGCACCTCTCAATCCATCAGTAGAGTACATCAACATCCTTTAGATTTCTGCCTGGTGGGGTTTTGTTACTCCACAACTGGTAGTAGTAGGGGCTGGGAGAGAGATTGGATTGTAGTTTTTGCAGTCTCTTGTTAGTCAGCTGGATGATGAGCACTGAATGATTTAATGTGTTCTCTGGGTTTGAAGAAATGAAGCCATGGTCATGGATCATTTTTGAACTGCCTTGTGAGGATTGATTGGAAATGATAATAATGTAAAAATATACACCTTGTTCAGGGACAGAATAAGTTGTTGTTTAACTCTGAAAATACAAAAACATGTTATGTATTATTAACTTATAATGATAACAATATCATTATAACATATAATTATAAATAATATGTAATATTTTACATTATAATTATATATACCTATAATACATAAGCATTATATATTATTTATAATATATTATTTAAAGTTAATGGCTGCACAACTCCAGTGGACTCTTTAAAAATGTAGGGCCCATACATAATTCACAAGGGTATTGGGAGATAAGAATGATGGCTGTTCATGTGTGTGTATGCGAAGGCTGACCAGTTTTGATGAGATGCATTGTGTAGAGAGTGATAAAATTCTCGTGGTTGGTTTTTGTTTTTTTTTTGCTGCAGGATTTTGCATAATCTGAAAGACATAAGGGTCATAGTGAATGTTTCTAGCATTCCCCTCAAGTGTCTAATGTCAGAAGAGAGGCAGTAGCATCTTAAACAGGGCTGGGCAAAGGGTTTTGCATTTTGAGTAGCTACGATTTTGAAATAGCCTGGTTCAAGTTTAAAACAGTTGTTTCAAATTTGAAGCAGGCTGTTTTGATATTTGTCGAAAGGTTTCCGGAGATATTTTTAGCTCAAAACACTTCCAAGATGATTGAAATGGTGAGTTTCAAGTCTGAAAAAGCTGTTTTGAACTAAAAAAATGAGTTACGAGTTCAAAGCAAGACATTTTGAATTTGAGGTGTTTCAGATTTGAAACATTTTGCATGCAGGAATGCTCTTAAGTTTTATATTGCTAATGCTACTTCTGTCACTCCTCTTGGAAAGAATTGAAAAAGCACTATGCTGATTGGTTTTGTTAAACTGGAAGTTTGTCTTGCAGTTCCTTCGGCTTTCAGTAAAGCAATATAAATAATATTATAATAAATTGAAAGGAATTTGACTCTGTGACTTCTAAGGAAGTGGACGTGATTCTCCAGTTGTGAACTTGGCCATCTGTTGATTAGAGCCAAACTTGTTAATGCCACTATTTCATTTCATTTTATTATTTTATTCATTAAATTTATATGCCGCTCATCTCACTATCAAAGTGACTCTGAATGCTAATGGGCATGATTGGGCCCATGCTGTGTTCTCTGCTTTTTTGCATAACAGATTAGTTTCCTCAGTCTTCAAGGAGGCCATGGTGTACCACCTCTTTAAGGAGGTCATCACTGGACCCGCCATCCTGGATAATTTCCTTCCAGTCTTCAACCCCTCCATTTTTGAGGAAGGTGATAAGGTGGTCAGGCTTCAGCTCCTGTCAGCCCTGCTATGCAGACGGAGCAGGAAATCACCTCTACAGGAAGGCTAAACCTACCCTTACTGAGATTGGCTATAATAGCTATACCTTCCCCAGCTTCCTATCCTTCAGTGAATTAGGGAGGTATCTGCCTGAGCCATTTCCAAATTTTGTATTGTTTCTTAGAAGTTCAATCGTGTTTCAATCCCTTTTGCCTAGATAACCATTTTTGCATATTTCTGCCATGGTCATTTCCCTTACATTCTGCAACTCCAAAGGACTTGGAGAGGAAGTGGATTATTTGATATGTTTTAGTCAAGTTTTATCCTGGCATCCAGTACATAGACACTTGTGGATTATCTGTGTTGGTGCCTGGATGGTGGGGCATCCATCATGGGGTTCCTTGATCACACAGTGGCTTTTGATATCATTGACCAAGGTATCCTATTGGGACAGATTTGAGGAGCTGGGAGTGGAAGCTCTGTTTGTGGCCCAACAGTTTCCTACTGCTCCCATTCTTTTGACTTTCCTCAAACCGCTGAAGACTTGGTTGTTTTTCCCAGGCTGTGGAAAAAGGGAGTAGTTGAGCCTCTTTGGTTAGTTTGGTTTTTGATATCAGTCGCTTGTTATCGTATCTCATATGTCATATTATATCTCCTTTAATTTTTTTTAATTTGTAAGCCTCTAAATAAATAAATCCCATGAACAAGTGGGAAAATGTCTCCATGACTCATGGGATTTGAAGTAATAAAAAATAGTTATGCTCATCTGCAGTTTTGTGAGGGCTATTGTTGCTAGCTGTAATTTAAATATTGCTTATTAAACTTTTTTAGTGATCAAAACGATAATGATTTCATCTTTCAAGGAAGAGTTGAAAGGAAGTAAAGGCTTGACAATAGACAATCTGGTAAATCTGTGATGGAGATTAGATTTGAAACTGGAGACCGGGTGGCTCACACGCTTTGTCATGGTGCTAGTCTAGAGGTAGGAAATGTTTAGAATCTCATGCGATAAACAAAAGAGAGGAAAAATCTGGAGGAAAAGGAGGGGAATGTTCCTGTCCATCTGCTGAATCCATTCCCTGAGAAAAATAGATTTTCCCTTAAATCCTTAAAATGGATTATAATTATAATAACTTTAGTGTCACTTCAAATGTACACTAATTGGCATACATTAAAATGAAATTTCATAGCATACAGCTCTCAAAGAGTCGCCACCTCCAATATACACTACACAAACATGAGAAAATAAATAAATAAAAGTATGCATATACCCATATACCCACATATATCGTATGATACAGAAGAAGCAATACGGTTTAATTCAAATTCTTTCTCTTTTTACAGGCAAATATATAAGAAAGCTACCCAAATTCAGTCCCTTCCACTTTTCTACAACTATATTGATTGAATGAGGCACTAATTTAGTAGTGATCATTTTGGCCTTGTAATCCAAATTTTGGGCTTGATTTACCCAGATCATCTTTCTCAGTTCGAATAAGAATGCAGCTACAACTGGAAAGGCCTCAGGGTAGGGGAGGTCAGGGAATAATTTAACAATATAAATTGCATCAAAATAACAACAAAAACAAACAAAAAACTCATGGCTGCAGAATACTTACAAAAGTATGACATGCACATTTTCAAAATGGAGATCTAATTAGGTGCCTCATGTAGGTAACAGAACTATAGAGTCCCCTGTGAGCTGTAGTAATCAGAAATTGTTGTTGTTAGTTTTTAAGAAATAAACCTCTGGCATTTCCCCCCAAAGAACTTTTACGTGTTTACTCTGTAAGGGTAGTCTTCATCTTACAACCATTCATTTAATGACAGTTTGAAATTACAATAGCACTGAAAAAAGTGACTTATCAGTGTTTTAGGACCATTGCAGCATCTCCATGGTCACGTGATTAAAATTCAGACGCTTGGCAACTGGTTCATATTTATGACAGTTGCAATGTCCCCGGGTCATGTGATCTCTTTTTGCGATCTTCTGACAAGCAAAGTCAATGGGGAAGCCAAATTCACTTAACAACTGTGGCAGTTGTTATTAACTACAATGATTCACTTAACAACCGTAGCAAGAATGATCATAAAATGGGGCAAAACTCACTTAACTGTGTCGCTTAGCAACACAAACTGTGAGTTTAATTGTGGTCAGAAGCTAAGCGCTAGCTCTAATAAAAAGACAGGTTTTCTTCTTCAAACTGGGTGTTGTATGGCATAATAATAAAAAAATCACCTGCACAGTTTATAATGAAAATGGAATGAAAAAAATTAGGCGGCTTGTCTGGAGCTGGAAAAAAGAGAGCTTGGATTATATACCAAAACTCTGTGGGGCAAAAAAGGATGTTAAAACCAGCATTTATTTGGGTGCATATTTAAGCGAGTCACATTAGCAGCTATAATTAATATAGCTATAACTAATATAGCTATTAGCAGCTATAATTAATATTCCAATTTAACCAATTCCAAAAATATCATGGTTTTTTTCTCTCTCTTTCATTCTTAACTTTATGAGGAAGCAGTATGTTCCACTTAATGCTAGAGAGGGAGGGAGAGAAAACAAACTGAATTACTGCTGGCTTGTGTAATACGAAACAAACACAGTGTTAAAAAGTTATGATATTTATATAGTTACTTTCCAAGCACATCTAAATTAGATTAAAGTAACCAAAATATTTTTACAATCCTCAAGGCATGACACAACTTTTGAGCACCTTAATGTTTGAAAATTGAAAGTTGAAAACGTTGACATGCACTGGACATTAGCTCTTGTTCCCTAGCTCATCTTTAACAGCAACCTGCATCTTTTTCTGCATTACACATTCAAGATAGGGAATTAGTGGCCCTCCAAATGTTGTTGAGTAGTAAGTCAATCTTTCTCTGCAGTTTCTTAATCATGCTAGATGGAGCTGCTAGGAATTATGGTTAAGTAACATCTGAAGAGGCACAGATTCCTTGCTGTTAGTCTCACCTAATTAAGTCTGCTTAATAACTCTTCAATTCATCTTACATAATTTAATAAATGCAAGGGTGACCTAATGGGATGATTCCCATGACTGAAGAATGTATTCAGAAGGAAGAGAAAAAAATAGAAAAGGAAGAGAAATTGCACTGTAAAATAAAAAGAGCCAAAGTTAGTAAAACTGAAAAGAGCATCTAGGTTAAATAAGTCTAGCATAAATAAAAACAGTACTATAGCTGATGTCTATCATCATCTAAGCAGCCACGGAAAAAAATGTTGATGAGGTTTTCCAAAAACAAATCGCAGATCTTTCAAAGAAGCAAGAAGTAGTAATGATAATCCTCACTTGCGAAGCACAATTCAAATTGGTAACTCCATCACTAAGCAATGTGGCTGTTTAGTGAAATGTCACATGAGCATGCCACTCTGATGTCAGTTCCACTATGGTTATTAAACAAATCATGATGGATTATTAAGTGCAACCTTATGTGACCCAACAACTTGTGACTTTCTGCTGGCTTCCCCATTGACTTTGTCAGACACCAGTTGTTAAGATTGCAAATGGGGATCATGTGACTGTGGGATGCTGTAACTATTTATTGTAAATGCTCACTAGTCGTAATGTGGCTATATCACAATCATGTCACTGTGGGATGCTCTGATTGCTGCAGGTTTGAGGAACAGTTGTTAAAGCTTTTTCAGTACCATCATAACTTCACACAGTCACTGAACAAGGCAGTCAGTACATGAGAAATGTATTGAAGGGAAACATTTAAGTTCCTGATTTCTATTAGGAAACTTCCGAATATGGTCTCTTCAGGAAAGTTCAAGATTTGTCATATGGACAAGTTTCTCCTACAGAGTATAAAAGAAGGCATAAAATAATTCCTTTAAAAAAAACACTTGATACTAGCCAGAAGGGACAACTTATCTAAATAAGTATAGTTAGTAAGATAATAGTTGTAGCAGGAAACTGACTATACATAGCTGGAATTTTTGATTTTAAAGGAAACTTAATATAATTAAACACACTTCTTGGGACCTCAAGAAAAAAAGATTTCAGTATGCTAACTAGAGAGCAAAGACAACATCTCATGGCAGGAGAAGTGAAGAAAAAGGAGGTCAAGATGGATATGAGTTTCTAAAAGTATTCCTAAAATACTAAAAATGCAATTGAAATATTCTAACAAGGAAAATGACGGAAGACACCAGTGTAGCTGCAGAAGAGGCTCAGTAAATCTGAAACGCACATATATACACAGGAAATAGACATTGTGACAAGTCACTGGGGAAGGTAACCTACAAATATAGAACTGGAGGTAGGAAGCTAAAACTAACAGAACAACATAAAAAAAAAACTCTCCTTCAAATATGTTCAAAATAAAAGGAAGAGAATAAAAATGGCAAAATGCTAAGGTGAAATAATAAAAAGGGAGAATTATTCAAATCCTGTTTTGGCTCAGTCTTTCCTTGAAAAGGCACTTTGGGTTCTGTCTGTTAGATAATTGCACTGAGCAGGATCAAGAGGAAATACTAAAAATGCAGTTGAAATATTCTAACAAGGAAAGCAACAGAAGACACCAGTGTAGCTGCAAAAGAGGCTCAGTAAATCTGAAACACATATATACACACACAAGAAATAGAAATTGTGACAAGTTGCTGGGGAAGAGTTGAAGCTTATAATTAATAGAAGCTGTGGCTGATAGCCAATTCAATTTCAGTTTTATTATATTCTTATGGCAATCAATCAATAAGGTAAAAGAAAAGCAATAGAAAAAAGGCCTAGTAAATAAACAATGGAAAAGCATACAAAGCAATCTATCTTATTTTCTAGTACAGATCCCCTGCAGGAATATTGTGACCAAATAACACATTTTTTGCAATGTCAGCAAGCAGGAAATCAACATAGGAAATATCGGATTGACTAGGGATTGTTGTTAAGAGGAGAGCGATATAGTTTTGGCACAATATGATATAAAACCTACAATGTAAAAGAACGTATGTAATTGATTTTACCTTTTGTATGCCACATGGATAGAGATGATAAGCCATAAGAAGATTGCAATATCTGCCCTATAACAATACGGAACTCATTCCAGCAACTCCTATAAAGTTCAGATGAGTCAGTGAGTCAAGACAGAGAGCCATACCTTTCTGATTAATTGTGCAAAAGCTGGGAAATCAGTTCAAATTATACTGCAACTCAATTTCAAGTACTTATTTAGCTATTAGGTTTTTTTTTTTAATATGAGCCAAGTTTATTTAAAGTGGGAGAAAGAGGCCACGTGAAAGCAAGGAACTTCATCCACAGTTGATTGAAAGGTATAACTTAAAACAGAATAGAGCAATGGTGTGTGTGTGTGTGTGTGATAGATGAACTTAAGCCAATAAATAAATATAATCAGGCAAGCTCTTGTATCTACTCTAATCAGTTCTGCTTCTAGCCTAAGAGCTACATTCAAGACACGTTTGGGAGTACCAAATATACCACCAGGGAATATCTCTTCATTCTGAATGCGTTTATATCTCTGTTGGTCTAGAGTACTAAAAATACTTGCTGATGATCTGGCTGTACCTTGTATTTCTGAGAAATCCTGGAGAACAGATGAACACAATTGCAAAAAACAAATGTCCCTTTCTTTAACACGCAGAAAAGGCAGGATTGGGGAAACTGTAGATTAATCAGATAATAATAGTATCCGGTATGTTTCTAAAGCAGATCATAAAACAATAAATCTATAAGGACCTTGGAAAGATTGTAGTAATTACAGGTAGTCCTTGACTTACAACCATAATTGAGCCTAACATCTTTGTCACTAAGTGAGACAGTTGTTAAGTGAATTTTGCCCCATTTGTGGGCCTTTCTTGCCACCATCATTAAGTGAACCTCTGCAATTGTTAAGTAAATCTGGCTTCCCCATTGATTTTGCTTGTCAGAAGGTCACAAAAGGCGATCACATGACTTCAGGACCCTGCAACCATCATAAATCTAACCAGTTGCCAAGTGTCCGAATTTTGATAATTGTGACCATGGGGATACTGCAATGGTTGTAAGTGTGAAAAAAAAATCCCAAAAGTCACTTTTTTCAATGCCGTTGTAACTTCAAACTGTCACCAAAGGAATAGTAGGTTGAGGACTACCTGAACTAGAAATCACCATGATTACAAGAGCAGATGTTGCCAGGCTGTGTTATTTTTTTTTAAATTGAGTCACTTTCTTAGTAGATTGTGAGTATGCAGTACACATAATATATCTTGATTTCAATGAACAAAGGGATTTCTGATTAGTAGCTATTTAATGTACATTGAATGTCATTACTAAATGGAAACATAGCTGGCTCAAAAGTCACAGTGAAGCAAAATATGTATCTATAATACCACGTCAAATTGGAGTGAGGTATTGATTGGCATAACAGGGTTCAGTCCTGGGCCTTGCAGTTTCAACATTTTTATTAAAGATTTAAGAGGTGGAGGCACAATTTATGAAGTTATCAGATAATACAACATAGTTAATGTTTTAAGAGATGGAAATTATTTTAAACAGATCAGGGAAACATGCTAAAAACAACAGAATAAAATTTAACAGAGCAAGACTCTTTACAATGGAAATAGAACAATGTATTGGTATATAGATGGATATATCTAGTTTGATATGATTTTTCTTAAAGAAAAAAAGTGCCTCTCCAATGATTTATGGAATCAAACAGTTCCCAAAACATTGGCCATACTGTTTGAAAATCATCTGTCTTCCTACTTTGACAGACAATATTTTATCAATAGTCCATTACTGAAAAATGGATATAATAATTCTTTTAAGTAATGTATGCCTGAAAATTGAAATTATTCTATGTTAAAAGACTATAAACACCGCAGCATAGCCAATAAGAAATATGGTTTTCAGTATACATTAGTTAATTCAAAGTCATATTATTGTTGATTCTGATCTACAGTGGAATGATGAAACTAAATTTCGTATGTTAACTATGTAACTAAATTCACATTAATTAAAAAAAGTCTTAAGTCAGGACATACAAGCTCTTTATTCCAGAGGTGGCATAACATATCTCATAACACTTCTTGCAGTAAAAACAGTTTTAATCCTGCCCCAAAACTCTAACCTCTAGGGCATTAAGAACAGTCATATAGTTTCCAGATCATGGGAAGTAATTACTATATTCTGTGTTTATCAAACCTATTTTACATCTTGCATTTGGTTTTAAACATTGATAAGGAATCAGATAAACAAGCTGAGGAAACTGAAAACAGGATGATCCAATTTTCATAGAGCCTAGGAAGAGACATTGCAGAAACAGGGTATATTTAACTTTGAGAGGATGAGGAAGATAAATAGCTCACTTCAAACACCTGAAAGAATGCTAGAAGAAGCTGCATAATCTGTTTTCTAGCCTGTCAAAGTGCAGAACATGGAATAATAGAGTTAAGTTACTGGAAAACTAAGTGAATGGTAGAAAAAAATATATTCCTAGCAAGAAGTGTAGCAGTGAAACCAATAGTGTAGGAAAGGAAATGGATATGTTCAGGGTCAGACTAGATATCCATCTGTTTGGGATGCTTACATTTAGGTTCTGAGGCATTTGGGTTCAATATCCAAAATGCCCCTTTCCAACTATGTCTGTATAAATCTGTGACAAACTGCATAGGATTTCCACCATATCTACGCTTAATGTGCTCATTCCACATTTTGATATTATTTTGTTGGAAGAATTTTGCTGACCTCCAGAAATGGATCAGTGCTTTGTGAAAAAATTTTTTTAGTAAATTCTTGTCAAGACTAACATGTAATTCAAGTGTATTTTTATTGGATTTTTTTTCATTTCACTGACTGTAAATTCTGTTTGGTAACATCTCCCTCCCTCCATCCATCCAAAACTTCAAAACATCTGCAGAAATATTTATGTATTTGCATGAACATGTCTAATGTACACATCTAATCTATTGCACATTTTTGCAAGTACTTTTATATATACTTTTCCTTAAATTAACATTTGGTACAGTTTCCCCAGTGCACAAATTTTAAGCATATTGTTCAATTGTAAATAGAATAACAAAATTCCAAGATGCACATTTTGATATTTACTAGTTTTTCAGGTTGTCTTGTGAATTGCAACGTTCCAATATTTATATAAATTGCACCCACCTTTATAAAGGCATTACGCTACTGTTGCTGCTTCAAATATTTTTTTCTCCTTAACTGAAATATAATTAGCTAGCAGTAGCTATTATCAGAGATAGGAGATATTTCCATAGCAGACGTGCATATATTTGAAAGGAGCCATTATTCTTTAAAAGGCAGCTGGTGTCAAATAGCTCCTGCTAAATGGGATGTGTTTGGGGGGGGGGAGCAGTGGCAGGTGCCCTTTATTTAGCAAAACTGTAAAGGGTTAACTTTTCAGATCTTTTTTTCTCTGGGAGCGAGGCCAATGTTGACTCTGTGTCTTCTTTAGGAAAATTCATTTGTTGAAGATCTGAAAGAGAGGTTCCAAGGGAATAAATAACTTGCAAAAAACTGTGTAGCCTTTATTGCTTCTCTTGGGAATTCATCAATAAACACAAGGCACAACATCTTTAGCTATTGCAGTGTTGGCCATCTGGTAGCCTGAGCAAAACATGCACTGGTTGCAGTCACATGTAAACTAAACCAAGACATAAATCATAGTTTGTGGAGCAAGTCAGAGCAGCTTTAATTGCATATTACGCTATGTTTTACATTGCTTATTGTCATACACCAGCCAGGCATCAAGGATCAATTTTGCTTTTCCTGTCTTCATTCTCCTGGCTGGATGCCATTGTTGTATATTCACTTCCAATCTAAATTAGACTTAAATGAATCCTTGAAATAAGCTTTCTTTGTTTCAGCAAAGGGAAACTGTTAACTAAGGCTGCATTTGGGAGTGGAGAGGGGGAGAGAAGGTTGATACAGAGCAGTCTCTTGGATTTGTTTTATTTAGTCTCTCTTCTTTTGTCTTACTTTTTTCCAGGGGATGTTCTGTTCCAGATGGCTGAAGTCCATAGACAGATTCAAAATCAGTTAGAAGAGATGGTAAGTGCTTGTGTACTTATTAACTTGTCTTTTTGCAGAGTCTGGCCAATGGGTAGCCTGCAGAGCCTTTGATACATATGGATTTAAAATTGAAACACATCTGCTGTAGAATAGCTGCCAAATCCTTTAAGTAAGAATAAGGACCTCAATTGAATAAATTGTGGGCCAAACAAAATTGCAAGTCATGTGCTGGCTTTTGAAATGTCCAAGAAATCTGATTGGTTTCAAGTAGCTTCCTGATTAATTAGGAGAGGTATGTCCTTAATTACTCCCTGACTTTCAAGTAGAGTGGCCAATTAAGCTTTACTCAAAAGAATAAGAAATAGAGATTATTTTCCATAGAAATATGTTGGATCTCAGCCTAGTGGGGAAGTTGGTTAACAGATAACCTGCTACTAACTAGAAATGAGAAATGTTTATTTTTATGTCTTACACTTCTTTATTTTCAAGGTAGAATTGAATCAAGTAGTCTCCAGCTACAGAATATCTTCAAAAACTGTGCTCTAAAGGAGAATTCATCCATGTTACTTACACTGTTCATTGCTTGTTATTCCAATTATCCATTACTGCTTCATTGCTTTTATTTTATTTCATTTCATTTTACCATATTTATTTGCCATTCTGTTTTCTATTATCAACCACTTGTAATGATTTGTTTGGTATCAGTGTAGATTATCTTTTTATTTATAGTTTTCCTCCAGTGATAAATTATAATATTTATGCTTGTTCGGTTCACTTCTCAGCTGAAGTCCTTCCACAATGAACTACTAACACAGCTTGAACAGAAAGTAGAGCTAGATTCACGGTATCTAAGCGTAAGTAGTAAGCATTTTTTACTGAATGTCAATTGGATTAGTAGCTATGTAGTTATTAGCATGGCATTATGAAGCTACCAAAGTTCAGCTACCTGACAGTGAACAAAACTATAAACTTTGCTTATAGTAGGGATGAGTTTGCAAGAACTGGCAGGTGCCTTCATCTGTTTTTGCAAGATGCAGATTAAGAGAAATGTTTATTCAAGATCATTTGAATAAGCATTGGAATAAGTGCTGTAAGAAAAACAAACATTTATTCAAGATCATTTTATTCAGACAAATTATGCTTTAATTGTTGCATATTTTTAAGGATGCTCGTGGTTAAAATTAAAGCCATAGGGATTCTCATTTAGTTTTTTTCTATTTTTAAAGAAGATTCACATAGTATGTGGGGGGGGGGGGAGAAAGGGTTGCACTATGTATTGAATTCTGTATTGGAATTAGAGTCCCTGGACTCATGGGAAATGCTTTCTTGGCATGTCCCAAAGGAAGACAGCTTTTGTTTCTAATCAATGCACCCTCATTCAAAACATGTCCTCTACAGCAGGTATAAGGTTAAGACCTTTCTGCCTGCAGGAAGCATATAAACTGTGCTCATTACCCAAAAGGGAAACCTCTGCCCATGTCTTCAGCCTATTATTATTTCAACTATTCAGCACTCCCACACATCTTTCATGTTTCAGGCTGCACTAAAGAAGTACCAGACCGAGCAAAGGAATAAAGGGGACGGAGTAGAGAAATGCCAGGGTGAATTAAAGAAGCTTCGGAAGAAGAGCCAAGGAAGCAAAAATCCTCAGAAGTATTCAGAGAAGGAGCTGCAGGTAGGCTAATAATTTAATAAGATGGGTGGGGCATCATCTAACTGGGATTGTATTTGACTGGTAGGTTGACATTACCATTATGGGTTGATCTATGACAGATGGAAGCAAATTTGGGTGGGAGTAGTTGGCGTTGGCTTTGAATCCCTTTGTATGATAAAAGCCAATATGGCCATAAGAATATAAAAGTTCAATCCTTTGCACATATCCTTGGGAGTAAATTTGATTCCAGTCAGTAAGAATTTTTTCTAAGTTAATTATTTGGATTGCAGATCTTGAACATTGTACAGCTTTATTTTATTCTTTATGACATATTGATTAAAAGGTGGATATATAACCGTAAATCCTGACATTCTGTTGCGTGAAGAATTTTATCTACTAATAGTCCAAAGATTGGTAACTGATCCGGTTGTTGATATCTAAGAGTCCACTGAATTTTAAAACCAAAAACTGGTGTGTGTATACAATACATTGTTTAGAATGGAACTGATTCTTTCCAATTCTTATATCTGGTTTGCTGAAAACTACTTTTATTCAGGCTTTTTGAATTTAACCTTTGCTATTTTGGTAAGCTTCTAAGCAATGATTCAAAAGTTGATCCAGATTTTCTTGCCTTGTTAACATTGTGGCAACAATGTCTGATGCTTCTGTCTGCAATAGCTACACATTCAACTCCAGAACCGGATTCATGGGTTCAGCAGCTGTATATTACTACAAAGCAGGGGTCTCCAACCTTGGCAACTTTAAGCCTGGAGGACTTCAATTCCTAGCTTTGCTGGCTGGGGAATTCTGGGAGTTGAAGTCCTCCAGACTTAAAGTTGCCAAGGTTGGAGACTCCTGCTACAAAGTATGGGTTGAGGGTGAATTAAATCATTACTCCTGTGTAGATTGCCTGCAGCACAAGCCTTCTTCTTGGGGTTAGGAGAAGCTGTGGTAGAATTTCTAAGGAGGAATTGGAAACTCAGGGAGAGTAAATGAAAAGCTTCAAATAGAGGAGGTTTGGAAAACCAAATAGCAGTCAAATTCCCACTCACAGCATTAATCAAACTAATGCCTTGAGCCCAGAGACTTCAATTTGAGGCCTACAACCATAGGCCTCTCTAGCACTGACAGGTCAAGTTACAGTACCCACTAATATTAGAGTTCTTGTTGGATATTTTTATTTATGAAATTTCTATACTGCCTATCCCACCTAAGTGACTCTGGAAGGTCTGCAAACAACCCTATTCACAGTGCAAACTTAATCCTATCATTCTTTTGGCTGATTTTATTGAGCAAATGTGGTAATCTGCATTTTGTTTGTTTGAAGACTATACCTAAAAGAATAAAAATTTGCATCCTGAAATGAAATTGTTATTGCCATTAGATAATTTCATTTATTAAATGTAAATGCCGCCTAACTGCAAGCCATTCTTATTGCTTTGGTTAATTTGCAGACTCAAATACATAGTGAAAAGGGTTTGATCACCATTTAAAATGGTACCTGTTCTTTTTCAAAACAAAGGGAAAATAAATAAACTTTGGAATTTGGGAGTTTAAGAGTTGAAATTTCATCAAATTTAGAAGGTAAATGATCAAGATGTTCCATAACCTGTATTTAGGATGTGCACCATCACAGAAGTTGTCCTTCGTTCCTCATTTCTCTTAAGTCCAGAGGCAAAGGATGAAGCCTCTGGGACGTGCAGAACTGCTGTAGCCCATCCTAGTCTTAGGAATTAACTTATGAAGTTATCTAAGCCATTGTGCATGATTAGTACTGTGCTTGGAGCATTTCTATTAAGATGCCAGATAAGCAACCCTTCACAGTTTTTTAAATGCAGGTATAAGAAATAATTGCCAAGTGTTCCATATAAAGAGTATGCCAAGAAACATCAGATATTTTATTGTGTGAAAAAAAATAATAAAGTTTCTCAATCCTAATTGGCAGCCTGCCCTGAAAAGAGAAGCAGAAGAGTTTTATTTGCAGTTGCCTCTCAGGTTGCCTTGAGCTATTTGATTGCAGAATGAAGTGTAAAATAATAGGTAAACTTCAGAATATCCAGCACTAGTCATTTTGGTTTAAGCAGAGTGACAACAGTGAACTTTCACAATGCTTTTTCTTTGGCATGATTACTTTTGATTAAATAAAATGTTCTCTTTACCTTGTACTTTCATGTTTACTTGCTTAATTTATTTGCAATAGACATTCCAGTTGTTTTTAAGAACTGGGTGAAAAAAAGAAATAAGCTAAAATATGAACTCCCACATTTTTTAGGAGGAACAGATATTTCATATTCCTTGTTCAGATAGTGTGTGACTTGATCCATCAGGTGTTCTTAGCTGTATTAGAGCAGAAATTTCAGAATATGTTTCTGAAGGAAAAGTTTCCCAAAGGGCATTATTGTGTGACCTCTGTTTAAATTTCCTGGGATTATGCTGCTGCATTGAAGCTTATCCTTACACCCTTCTGGAGAATGTAAAAGCACGACCGCTTTGTTTCAATGGCAGTTCCAGCATTGATGAAATATTGTTTGTGTGTACATAGGCAGATAATTGTAGACAATGTTCAAAAGAGCCACCTGAATCTTGCAGAAGAAAAGTCTGCTTTAATGGTTTAAAAAGAAGTACAATCCTTGACTACAACCACAAATGAGCTCAATATTTCTGTTGGTAAGCAAGACAGCTGTTAAGTGAGTTTTTCCCCATTTTACTGACTTTCTTGCCATAGTTAAGTGAATTGCTGCAGTTGTAAAGTTAGTAACATGGTTGTTAAGTGAATCTGGCTTCCCCACTGACTTTGCTTGTCAGAAAGTTGCAAAAGGAAATCCCATGATTCCTGGACACTACAACCTTCATAAACACATATCACTTGTTAAGTGTCCAAATTTTGATCATGTGACCATCGAGATGGTACAGTAGTTGTTGGAAAAATGGTCGTAAGTCACTTCTTTCAGTGTCTTTTTTTGTAAATTTTATTTGAGTTTTCACAAAAAGAAATACAAATAAAACATCTTTTTTGAAAGCAGCATAATCCCGGGTTACATTTCTTCATACAGACACAAATTCAAGTTCATGCTCATTTTTACATTCTATTCCATATATTATTACTATTTTACATTTTCTACATGGCTTCTCCCCTCTTTTAATTTTCTCTATTTTATTTATTTCATCTCAATTCAGATCATTATATTTATATTTTTTGTCTGTCCTGTTTCAATTGTCTATCATCTTTTCTCATTATACAAAATTTCTCCTGTAGTTACTGATTGGAGTATGACGCCTTTATATCTTTCCCCTAAAATTATAACACTCACTATAATACATAACTTCCATTCGGATTCTGCTTGGTACATTCTTAAACTACACACAGTATTCTTAAAAAAAGAAAAGAAAGAGAAAAAGTTGTAAATGTATATAATTAAAACAACATTCCATTCCAATTCAATTCTATCATTAATATTAATATTCATTAAAGTCTTAACATTTTTCATGTTACTTTTCAGTTAAATATACTTCTATGGGAACCCTCTTCACTTATATTTTATAAAACATTGACTAATTAAAATGTTCCCGTTCCTTCCTAATTCAATTTTCTCATTTATTTTATTTCATTTACTTTATTCACCAACATTTCACTAAATTACAGTAATTATTTTATCCCTCATTCTAATCATATGTTGTTTCCAACTTTCTAAAGTTATTTCTATAACAAATATAACAATACAATCTTATGTACCTTTACAGAATCCCTTTTTCAGTTAGATTTTCACCCATTATCTCTAAATAGGTCCTGTTTCTTTATATCTTGCTCCAGACCTTTGTAACTTCTTTTCCTTTCCTTCTTCCCTCTCTTCTTCTCTCTCCCCTTTTTACCCCTTTGTCTCTCTCTACCTCAATTTCCCACTTGTGTATTCCCCTTTTCTGTTGCTTTCCAGTATTATACTTATTTTTCAAATTATTTTTCTTTTTTTGGTTTTTTTTTAAATCTTAAATTCTCCATCCTCTTTCCCCCCTTTCCTTTTTCTTCCCCACATAAAGTTACTTGTTTATTAAAGATGGCTTCTTCTTTGTCCCAGTCTTCTTGTTTTGCAGTCTTTTCTTGTTGTTTCTCATAGTTCCAGATCTCCATTTCTAAGAATTGAAAAATGAAGCCAAAAGAACCCTTCCCTTCTTGTGCATCTTCTTTGTACTTTTTAAGTTCCCATTTCAATTCATCCAAAAGTGATGCCATTGTAGAAATTTTTAAACAACCACCCGATTGACTTTAGTCATTCAAATATAATAACCAAAAATCCAAAAGTCACCAAGTAATCCAAATGCACGCAAGCTGTTTCTTTTTGCTCTTTCTTTTTTCTTTTTTCCACTTTCTCTTCCTGGGGTTACTATTTAGTTGCAAAGTTTCAGTTAAAATGCATCTTTTAGAAGTCTTATTGAAATTTTACTTTAGATTCTTTTAAAGTCCAGGCAGTCTCCTCCCTCTTCCAGATCCTGCCCTTATTCTTTTTCTCTCCCTTCCTGCTTATAGAAGAAAAAGTTTTAAGTGTCCAGAAATCTTTATTGTCCCTTTGGCATTTAGTTATATTTTCAGCTTAATTGCCTATTGATGCCAAAGCAGATTTTTCCAATTTCTTATTTAGGTCTCTTAGTTGTCAATATAAGGAAGGAGAGAGAAGAGAAAAAAAAGCCAAACCTTTCCCTTTTCACTTTCTTTCGCTGCTTCCGACCCTTCTTTGGGAGCAGTGTTATTTCTTGTAAAATTTAAATTCCAGGGAACCTTACTTGTTGCTTTTTCAACTTAGCCCAGTCAGCCAAAACTTTCACTTCTTATCTTCCTCCTGCACGTTCTTTTCCAGTTGAGCTCTTCTTTGAGGTGGCCATTTCTGACCACCGCTCCTACCGCCTTCAAGAAAGGGAGTAATGGCCAGCTGAGGAGGAGAGATGCGGCTCTCCTCGACCCTGCTGGCGGTCTCCTCCCTCTTCACCACCTCTACTGTGTCGCTTAGCCCTGAAACCAGCTGGCTTGG